GCTCTCTCGGAAATCTTCCCCGCAACAAGGGTTTACATATCATTCTCTACTAACCCTATTTTACGCGGGGGAGGCAAGGATAGGCTGGCACATCAGACCGCCTCAATGTGCATCTACTCATTAACTTGCTCCTGAGTAGCAGGTTATATTGGTCCTACGAGTCGGTGAATTTCCAAAAGAATACGAGGGCATCTTCCCGCATGACTGGCAAAAGGTGAAACAAGGAGAATAGACAGCGTCCTCCTTGCGCATGCAGTGGATTCAGGGCATCGTGTAGACTCCGCTGAAGCATTTCGTATGATTTATAAGGTCCCGTCGGGCTACCCTAAGCTACTGGGCCAGCGCCTGTTAGCGACAGCAGAAGTGGCCGCCATTAGGTTAAGCAAACCGACCCTATGCACCCAGAAGAATCTCATTCAGTCTCCGCGCTTACCGTGGTCAAAGGTTGACAAACCACACACAACTTTCTGCGTCCTTCCGCTATTGCCTAGCCTGTACTTAAAAAACTAACTTTTATCCATTTTTCACTCACTGTACCTCGTTCCATATAACTGTACTGGCCTGAAGAGAAGTTCTCGAAAGCAACGTTCGTTCGCCACTTTGTCTTCATTCTAATATTCTTTGTTATTGTCCTCCATTTCATTCTGCCGATAAAATTAGTTATTGTTGGGCAACGGCTGAACTCAAGATCAAAGTACGTGTTGAAATTGAAGCTACTTTAGACGATTCCAAATAGAGTCAGCCCTCAATTTCATCGGCATCAAACTGTCTAAAGTATGATTTGTTGCTGATTTCACCATCAGTCAGCCGAACCCACCTATCAACGACAGCCCTGTCTCCTACACTCGGTGTTATTATTGTTTCAGCCAGATATGTCCTAACGGGTAACCGTACGAACCATTAGTCTAGAGTGCATTTGCTCGGAGGTTTGTGCGTGCGGCGGGGCACTCATTGCCGACAGCAGTTGGTTGAAATCCACTATTTCCGTTTGCACTCGTTTTGCTTATGTAGTCGAGCGAAATCTACGTGGAACCAATTCATTGTTCCCATTGGGCGACTTAACATCAACGCTCTTCTGCAAAACTGAATTGCTAGTAAAATCCTGGTTTCGCTTTGTGACCGTCCGGCTGCATCGAAATTTCGCGCCGACTGACTTTTGTGGACTCCGATAACCACAAGATCATTCGGGCTCGGGAGTATGAGCTTTTAGCAGGGATTATTACGCTAGAGCAAATAGATTAATAATTCTCCTAAAAGATGCTCTTTGCGCTTACATTTCGTTGATAGCGAGTACTTGGCTATCAACTCCGCCTATCAAAATAAGAAAAGTCATTCATCGCGAGATGTTTATTTTTGGCCTGCTGTTTCGAGTGATGAGTTCACCGGTACATAGGCACAGTTCCCATTATATGCCAGCTTCGACTATTACGTCGATCGCCTGTGTCGTCTAGTCTGACCTGTATCGCTGTCACCCTCATGAGCCATGGCGATAATTGGCTTCATCGATGGTCTACGTCTTTAATAGTCTCCGGTCAAATAGGCCCATGACCACATAGTGTGAGGCACGTTTATATGGCGTGTGACCGGGTAATCGTAGGAAGTCCAAGCCGCCTGAACTTTAGTTGATGCGAGACCATTGGCTCGGCCCTTTATCTCAACAGCGTCAAAATAGAGGGTGTGCCTCGGACTTGGAGTGAATGATCACGAGAGCAACCGAGTAAAAAACCAGGCTGCCTGATGCGCGTGAGGTGGCAAAAGTTCATGTGCGCAGCCGTGACTCATTTAACAAGGGTTGTGCCCTCTCAAGTCCGGGAGGACGATCAAAAGTCAGCGATACGCCTGTGGAAGTTGTCGTTCACTGACAAAGAAGTTCAGTAAAAGTGGGCATTGGATTAGCTGTCACAAGGAAAATGTGTCGTCTAATGCCACAGAATCTGTCGAACCCACCTCTCACCGACAGCCTTGCCTCCTGCATTCGTCGTCAGTCTTCCCTTAGCTAGATATGTCTTTACAGGGTAATTTGATGAGGCATTACTCTAGCGTGCATTTGTTGGGAGCTTTGGGTGAGAGTTGGATAAGTCACTGATGACCGGAGTTAATTGGAAACCGCCATTTTCGTTTGCACCTGTTTTTGCTTATGGTAGCGGGCAAAGTCTTAGCAATGGTGTTTCTACGTGGCTTCGAATCTTCGTTAACATTATCCGAGTGAATATCGACATTTTTCATCATAACTGTGTTGTTCGTGGGATCTGTGTGTCGCTTTTCGACCGTGCTGCCGCAATGAAATTTCGCGCATACTGCCTTCTGTGGACACCGTAAACCGCCATAGCAATCGCTCTCAGGAGCTTGCGCGCTTAGCAGTTGTTCCGGTCCATCTCGACCCTTTGAAATTGACTAGAAGTAGCAGGTTCTGAAGGTGTTAACTGCAACCAACTGTCTTCAGAAGATCTAAACATTGTGATCCCCAAACATCACGGTCTTTTTGAGACACGGTAATTGAGCCTTCCGATTCATTTATTTTCGTCTACTGGTGTTTCTTATTACGCTGGGACAGATAGAGAAATAATTTTTCTGAAGTCTTTCCTCTCCGTTTATATGTGGTTGATCAGGAGCACTTAGCTAGCACCTCGCCTATCAAACTAAGAAGAGGCATTCACAAGGAGGAATTTATTATCAATCTGACCTCTCTGAATATAGGCTTCGCCACTCATCTTCAGAGACTGCTTGTTCCTAAGTACAGTTCTGATACTATGCACATTTTGACTATTCGCTGTTGGCAACAGATATCGAGTAGATATACGTAAATAGAAATTAATTGAGATATGTATGCCTGTCACGTAATTGTTATTTGATTATACCTTTTACCGCCTCCTACACCTATAAAGGAATTCTGGTCTTCTTTAACAAGTTTAAAGTTGCTTGCAATAACCTGCCAATTGCTGCTAGATTGCAAATTACCTACATACGTTAAGAGCATAATGAAAATTTGGCTGAATGCTAACTTGATTGATTTTTGATAGAAGCGAAAAGGCGAGTTCCAGGTACCAGTTCAGAAGATGAAGATGCGATCGCTAGAACAAGAAATTTATTGACCTGACGTTTCCGATTCTCGCTCGAATCCGTCATCAGAAACATTTGCAGATAAAGGTGATCTGGCGCCAGGAGTGCAGTATTTATAGCACGTGGCTGCCGTGGACCGTATGCGCACTGAAATTAACAGTTCTCGCAATCACCCATGGGGTCGTAATCGATGCGGTGGTGGCTTGTCAGTCCGAGTCCGAGTCGTTAATTGCCGTGATTTCGTCATCCGTGCTGGATGCTGCTGTGACGATTGCTCGGCAAACTGGCTCACTACCACTGTGATAAATGCTCACCCGCGCCCTCCCCAAGTGACTGATTCTCCTGCCCAGGGAAAATCTCAGCACGAAATATGATACCGGGAACTCATTGTGCTTGTTGATGGATTGCGGGCCTGAGAACCATGACTCGAGCAGCTCGTGGCTCACGCGGTTGTCACCCCTTGCGAGGATTTCGGCCTCTTGAAATTTGAAAATATGGCCGGGTCCCGTCGAGTGTGCCGCCACCTGAGAGTTAGCGTCTCCCCGCCTCACTGCTGCTGCGTGCTCGGCAAGTCGCGTACGGAGTAATCTCCCAGTTTCTCCAACATAATTGCTTTGTCCGCAACTACACCAGATCCGGTAAACGACTCCAGACGTTTCCTGCCGTGGCAGCGGGTTTTTTGGCCTCATGACTTGGTGCCTAGTGGTTGCTTCCGGCCTGTGTGAAACCCCAACTCCAAGTGGAGTGAGAAGACGACTGACGGCTTCCGAGACGTTTTTCACGTACAGAAGAGCCCGCCAAAATTTGGGGCCGGTTGGATTTGGTCTCTGGTGTCCTTTTCGTATGCAATGATTGACAAAGTTGCGCGGGTAACCATTGGCTCTCATTATCCGTCGAAGTTATTGTTATTCAACAACATTCTCTTCCATTTTACTGCAGTGCGTCTCAACACGCCGGTATAGCGCCCTTACGCAAATGCGTTTGTGACTGATCGGGTGGTTGCTATTGAAGTTCAGTATTTGCGTCGTATTTGTCGCTTTCCTGAACACATTGGTATTTAGGCCACCACAATCTCTGCGGCAGACGAGGACATCCAGGAAGGCCAGCTGATTGTTTTTCTCCTCCTCCATCGTAAATTGAATGTCCGGGAAGACGGCGTTGAGTTGTTCTTTGAAAGTCAGCACCTGATCCCGTTCGATGACGACGAAGGTGTCATC